CCCCCCCCCCCCCCCTGCACCCCCAGTAAATCCATCCCTGTAAACCAACCTTAAGATTACCCTGTGACATCAGCATTTTCTCCTATACAGGGTGTCCCGAAAATGTGCAATAGCTATGTTCCAGATTTTTGCACAGTACAGCGCCTCCAAATGGAGACCAACCAAGCCGCTTATAACGTCGCGTTTACTGTTGTCATTTTGTAGTTTGCGCGCGCAGTTCCATGTGGACGAGAGTGACATGAACCCTCTGCATGGCTCCGATTCACATTCTGCTGCTCGGAGGGAAATCGAAAAAATATTTCCTGTTGAAACCACCGTCGCGGTCATTAAACCTGAAACTGCTGAGGAAAGTGGAGGTAAAGATATAATAACAAATTTCCAGGTTAATTTACTGTCGTTCCAATTGAAGTGTTGCTCAAATATTGATTCAATACATTACCTCGGGCTGACCAATTCATTTCATCAAGTTCCTCGAGATATTCATACACTTCCTAGTATAATTGTACACTTCCTGTTGAATAGTTTGAATGCACCAATCACCTTTGTTGTTTGTGCAACTAACCAATCATAAATAGAAAGGAAGTGACCAGAAATGATCAAATACTTGGAATTGGATCTTTCACAGGAAGTGTATGAATATCTTGAGGAACTTGATGAAATGAATTGGTCAGCCCGAGGTAATGTATTGAATCAATATTTGAGCAACACTTCAATTGGAACGACAGTAAAATTAACCCTGTTTACCCTGTTACCCAAACTTCAGTAATGTTCTTGGTTAAATTTCCTGGTCAATCTTTGTTGATTTGATCACCATCGTGGTTAATTTAACCAGGATTCCTGGCCATATAGCCAGGCTATATGCATGGTTAAAATAACCAGGTAATATTTGGTGGACTATTTACCAAGATTTCCTGGTTAATAATACACCTAACACAATCTGGTTAATTCAACCATATAGCCTGGTTAAATTAACCAGGAATCCTGGTTAAATTGCATAGCCAGGACTGTGATCACGTTAACCAGGATTGTGGTTAAATTAACCAGGAAAGTTAACCAGAAACATGCATTAGGTTACGTCAAACAGGGTTAATTTTAGGTTAACCAAGAAACTTTTAACCAGGATGTTTTTGTAGAGTGTTGAAATGATTGAATATACCTACTTAATTTACAATCTACTAACTCGATACCTAAATTTCAGCGGGACAGTTTGCAACAAAAATATGCATATAGCTTGCATTCGGTCATTTGTTTTTAATCCTGCATGTAACTACTGTACTTCAAGACTGTAACTACCAACCACTATGATTACTTCAGGATTTATTTTCAGGATATGTTTTTGGCGTTCCTCCCAAAGTTACATCCTGAAACAAATTTCAGCACTATTTTCTAGTTAATGCTGTTCGCTACAAATGCTATAAAAGTCGTAAAAGAAAATACCGTAAAATTAATTTAAGTCTATATTTTAGTATTATTTTATAGATAATATCTTCTCTTCCTCTTTGCTCCTCTCCCCTTGCCCCTTATACTGTTCACCACCGGGCTATCTACTGTCAGAATGCCCTCTAGTTTCATTATTTTGCACTAACATTTGTATGCACTTATATTGTCACAGATAAGATCATCAACCGTATCAAAGAGGCTGGATTTCGAATCATATCTCGCAAGGATGTTGGTCTGACGAAAGAACTAGCTGGACAATTCTATCATGAACACGAAGGAAAAGATTTCTTTAATGGACTCACTGATTACATGAGCAGGTATTTACTAAAGATAATGCTTTTGACGTTGGAGAGGTCAGGGAGAAAGTGAGAGAGGTTGTGATAGCGGTAGTGGAAGTCAAATTCTGAACCTCGCTCTATTACCTTAATCTGGACCTACAATATATAGAAGACAAAACCCCCATACGTGTTTCCCTTGTTTTTAATACATGCTATGTAACGTTTGTGTTTTCAGTGGTCAAAGTACTGTATTACTTCTGGAACGAGAAGACGCCGTGACAGGCTGGAGAGCTCTCATGGGACCCACGGATCCAGAGGAAGCCAGAGAACAAGCGCCAGAATCGTACGTATAGTCTGATGATCATCATAATAACGATGGTTTATTTTAGTGTCGTTTGCACAAGGTCAGGGATGGACCCATGGCCAGCCAGATCTGGTAGAGGGGGTGCTCATCGCGTCCATGGTCATTGTTCGGGGTGCGACCCATCCTCGCTCCCAGGGCCTCGCGGCCGTGCGCGACCTTCATTAGGCTCTGGGATACACGAAACCGGAAGTGCAAGAAAACTTGCAGTAGTTTCTAAAGCGCATGCTCTTGAATTGAGACGCTTCAGCACCCATAATAATTTTCACAGATATAAAGTATTACGATTTACGAAGAGACGAAGTATTTGTGTTGACATATTTTGATAGAAAAAATTTTCTCAGCGAAAATTGCTCAACTTCTGCGAAATAGCAGTTCTCTGAGAAGCCAATCAGATCGCTTCCCTTATTCGTCTAACCCAGAGCCTAATTTTCAACGAGTGAAAATGGCTCTGGGGACTAGAATGGGTGCGACCGTTGAGCAAGTTCATAATAGTGACTTTGGGAAATACAACGTCAACGTCAATTGTATTTTCTTCAACATTCCAGGACACCGTAGTTGTTCAAATTGCTAAGTTTCCATCATTTTCACGACTCATAAAAATGATAAGTACTTTTAACACATCTGTATTCTAAAATCTGCCTCACACTCGATTAGTCTCAATAAGTGCAACTCAACGTTCAATGAGTCTCCCCACTCATTCTCACTGAGCAGAGACTACACTCACCCAGTCACCCTCCAACCATTCAATGACAGCCATCATCTTTAACTTGGGGCCTGAGTGGATGATTCCTTCCAGCTATAGACGAAATTTTGATCTAGGCAAGAAGAACAAAGTGCTAGAAAGGGCATGTTAAAATTAGTAAAATGAGGAAATATAGCCCTTATAGAATTTGCAAATTTTGTATTAATTTGTATTGCGCACGGGAAAATGCACAAATTAATACAAAATTTCGCAAGGCTATATATTTTCCGCATTTTACAACATTTCGCGCTAAACTTTGCAATTTAACTAATTTTAACATGACCTTTCTATATAGCTGCATGTGGTGATTGATTTTGTTCTTATTGACTAGATCAAAATTTAGTCTATAGCAGCTGGAATCATCCATTTGAGTAAAGCTTGAGTGAACGATATAGTCCTAAGTCACTTGAGTTATGTATACTTTTTGCCTGATACAAAAATGTAATAATTTTTTCTGTGCCTTTGCCGACTGCCAAACTCACTAGCAGCAGGTTTAACTCGACAGCAAAAGACAACGCCACTCGTTTTCCCCCTTAATTTTGTTTTTCATTTTAGTGTCACAAAATAGTGATTTCGTTATTTATTTCATTCAGTATTCGTGCTGTATTTGGTAAAGATATCTGTAAAAATGCCGTACACGGCAGTTCCAACACGGAAAAAGCTGGCCCGGTCATTGAAGAATTGTTTCCTGAAGTTGAACTTCTTCCAAATGGCAGAGCTATGGGTAAAATTTATTCACTACTTGACCAAAATAAGAATAGACATATTAGAATTAGTGATGTATCGATATCCACATCGGCGTATCAGATCTCGGTTATCAGCCCCAAATTTAAAATATCGGTAATTTTCAATTGTTACCGATATCATCGGTATTATTGTATATGACAAATTTATACAATGCATTTTAAATTTAAAGTATATTTTGGATTCCAATTTTGGCTGCAACACGATTCAGTGAACCCGAGTGTATCAAATAAATTGAATATATAGCCATATTCAAAGATTTTATCAATGTATACAGCTATTTCAATTAAGGTTGTCCACGAGTAAAGCGGAAAAGTCGAACACGAGCGCGAAAGGCTGCTGGGAATCGCTAAAACATTAATGAATTTATTAGCGTTTCCCAGCATTCTTTCGCGCTCGTGTTAGACTTTTCCGCTTTGCTCGGGGACAACCTTAATTGAAACAGCTGTATACATGTATGATAAGTGTTAATGCATATTGACCACTCTCAACTCATAGTTATGAAGTTTCTACAGTAAGTACAATTCTCATTTGTGAATTTCGGAGTAAAATAGAATATCGGTATCGGCCTTTGAATACCGGTTATCGGAATATTGGTACATCACTAATTAGAATACTTGGCTTTCGTGATTGTTTTGATAATCATTATTGACGTATGTTCTTTAATTCGTGGCCAAATATTACAGTGACTCCAAAGTCGGAAGGCGATGCATTAAGGGATCAACAAGATGGCGACCGGACTGAAATGTTGCAAGGTATTGCGAATATCCAGAATGGTAAAGAAGATTATTGCTCCAACAATGGACCATTCCCCAACTAACCAAAATTTTGAACTCAACAAGTCTAGACAAAAATTTCATCACAGCTTGAAAGAGCATCACCAAATTAGTAATATTCCAAAGTTTCATTGCGAAATGTTGTAAAATGCGGATAATATAGCCTTGCGAAGTTTGCAATTTTCAGTCATTTTAGATTACAAACGGGAAATGGTTTAATACCACATCTGTGCGTAATACCTATAAACTGTGGTAATACAAAATGACTGAAAATTACAAACTTCGCAAGGCTATATTATCCGCATTTTACAACATTTTGCAACGAAACTTTGGAATATTACTAATTTTGTGATGCTCTTTCAAGCTGTGATGAAATTTTTGTTTAGGCTAGCTGAGATCAAAATTTTGGAAAAGTGGTAACCATTTCCCGTTTGTAATCTAAAATGACTGAAAATTGCAAATTTCGCAAGGCTATATTATCCGCATCTTACAACATTTCGCAACGAAACTTTGGAATATTACTAATTTTGCGATGCTCTTTCATGCTATGATGGAATTTTGTCTAGACTTGTTGAGATCAAAAGTTTGGTTAATGGTCCTTTCCCCTTATAACTAAAATTTCGATCTAGAGAAAAATTTCATCACAGCTTGAAAGAGCATAACAAAATTAGTAATATTCCAAAGTTTTGTTGCAAAATCTTGTAAAATGCGGATAATATAGCCTTGCGAAGTTTGCCGTTTTTCAGTCATTTTGTATTACAAACGGGAAATTGACATCCGATTCGGGTGTTGGGGCTGCAATTTCCCGTTTGTAATGCAAAATCACTGAAAATTGCAAACTTCGCAAGGCTCTATTTTCCTCATTTTACAACATTTCGCAACGAAAGTTTGGAATATTACTAATTTTGCGATGCTCTTTCAAGCTGTGATGAAATATTTGTCTAGACTTGCCTAGATCAAAATTTTGGTTATAAGGGGAAAGGTCTATTGGGGAATGGTTCATTTATTATGTAAAATATCGTAAAATTTAGTTTATTGAGTTTCTCACTCATTGGTGAGCGGATTTCCCAACAGGCTATTGCCCAGTTGATCCCTAGGGGATCCGAGCTACATACGATTTACCCTATCCGGGACCATTATATCTAACCATTTATTGATGCTAATGTAAATATTTTAAGACCTTGAGTAGAGGTCCGACCAAAGATTGTACGCGAGTCTCCCAGCTTGAAAGGCAATCGTGGTGGCCACGACACAAGTTGTAATCCGAATGTATCAAATAATTTAGTAAAAAGCTAGGCTATCGCCTCAAAATGTAAACATGCTAACTACTTTATTAACGGAAATATTCTGTAATGATTTTACAGGCCATCCTGGGAATGGCGCGCGATCGCACGCACACGCCATTGGCACACGCCTCAGCACATCAAGAAGTAAGGTTTATCGCACGCCTCAATTAACCTACAGTATAAAATATACAATACATCCTCATTTGTATGATGTATATCATCGTATGGTCATCCTTGAATCTATGATGTAAATCATACAGGTGCACTTTTATGTATGACGCATATCATACAGACACATTGATAACTTCATCTTCACCTCACTCTTACCCTGATAGGGGGTCGAAAGATTCCGCACCCCGTCGCGACCTGCCTCCCTTCTAAGGCGATAGATTAAAGTGTTGTCTTAGGCTTGTGGTGCATTTATGCAACTTTAAAATAAACACTTATATGATGTTTGTGGTGTTACTCTGAGTGTATATCCACACCGGGCGAGCTTGAAAAATATGCCCGGCCACGGTGGGAATCGAACCTACGACCTTTGGAATATTATATGGTGGGAATCGAACCTACGACCTTTGGAATACTTATATGATCATATACATAGATTAAGTATGATCGTGTGATGATATAAAAATTATGAAGCATAAATGACTTTCTAAAATTCCAACACAATATACTAACATAGAAAATATTTTATAATCGTGACACACAATAACATGGCAAAGAGGTTTACAGAGTATCAGTGGTTGATGTCACCGCAAACCTGACAAGCTCAAGCAGTGCGATTCATTGAACCCCTACCCTTTCCTTCCTGGGATGGCCTGCTTTTATGGTAACTCTCGAGATAACCAGTCTTTCTATACGTCTTTTTTGCACCTTACAAAACTGACCAGCCGATTTCTTGTTGTATTTTATAGAGGATGGAATGCGGAGTACTGAGGGTGATGTGAGAATTACAGAGGATAATACTGGTGGTCAAGGCGAGTCTGGGAAGATTGATGGTAGTCAAGAAGATGGTGGTGATCAAGGCAAAACTAGTGATGGTAATACAACTGGTGATCAAGGTGAAGCTGGTGGTACGCCCAGTGGTGATGGTACGCTGAGAGCGGATGATGGTGGTACGCCAAGAGCGGATGGTGGTGGTACACCCAGAGCGGATGATGGTGGTGCCACAGCAGATGGCGGCGGCGGTGAAACAGTAGCTGGTGATAGCACAAAAGATACCGATGATAGCGCTAAGGAGAACCAAGATGGTATTACTGGTGAAGATGGTAAGACGGTTGGTACCACTAACGCTGAGGGTAGTGCAGATATCAGCCCAGATAATGGTGCCAATCAGGATGATGTTACCAAACCAGATGACGATACCACCACAACTGCGGATACCAATAATACCACTACCACTAAAGATAGTACCACTGTCAATGGTAGTGATGATACAACCACCAATGATAACACCACAGCTGAGAATGAGACTAAAGGTGCAGAGGAAGCAGTAACAGATGGTACCATTAACAATACTCCTGTCCAGAACGAAAGTCAAAGTGGTGATGATGGTCAAAATGTAGTTGGTATCAAGACAGATGAAACATCTGTGCCAGATACCACACCAAAACCAGTCGAAGAAGATGGTAAAGCTGGCAGCGATAACACAAAAGCTGATTCTGAGGTTGTGAAAGAAACTTAGACATTGAACGAAATAAAAACTTGATACGCTCGTGTGAAAAAAGACGAAATTGAAAGTACTATGTAAATATTATATGAATATATTTATTAACGTTTATTAATATATTTTTAGAAAGAGTTTGCATGTATTTGGTGTTGATGTGGTCTCGCGTTTGCATAATTCCTTACTAGACTCCTAACGTCAACAAATAATAACAACCCAATTACTCTTGCTATGTCATCTCGTTAGCATTTTGAAGTTATTAAAATGTGTTTTCCACAAACCAATAATACTTATTTCCATGCAAAGAACTTATTCATGATATAGTAATCTAAAAACCTCCATTGTTCTCTTATCTTCGATATTTACATCTATAACAGGCGCAATAACGTTTAATTATTCCGACAATATCGTCCTTACTTTTGGCCTGATCAGGTACTTTCATGTCGGAATAAATACCACTACTATACAGTACATGTGCTGAGCTTTGTGGAAAATTGTTTGGAAAATGAATATTGAATGTTTTATCATTATGCTTGATTGATAATTGTATTTTGTGATCGACAGCATCTCTGCTCATCTCGACCAGACTTGGTGCTGGAAAATTAGAAATACAGGAGGTATGAATATTTCTTAGAATTTCTTCACCACGTGTTGTAGTATACCACTGCAGGGGTGGATTATTTACTGGACTTTCTGTCTGTCTTTCACTAGGCCTGCCAGCAGGAGCATGTCTCTCGGGCGCATGTCGTTCAGGCGCAACTATTGTATGCCTGCGTTCTGGTGAACGTTCACGGTAGGCTCTTGGACGACGAGATATAAGATTTGAAAATGGACTTTCCATTGGCAGCTCCTGGTTTAAAAGCAAGTAAAAATTTCTTGGTAATGTGCACATACAGGTGTATGTATTGCATTACGGACTGCAAACTGACCACAAGTGTCACAGAAGTTACTATTTAAAAAATACAGTCATAGGCGTAGGAGTGAGAACAGAAAAAAATTGCAAATTTTCATTAATGGCTTTTTGAATGTAAAAACTGAACTCTTACCATATTGATTGTTCTTTGTGTGAATATGATGTTTGTGATGTTACTCTGAGTGCGCATCCACACCTACCCTGGATTCCAGAGCCTTCGACAGTAAATAAATTAAAATGTCGTAAAGGCTCTGGTTCAATGGGGCGATTCTTTGGTTGAACCGCGCCAATCACAAAACAGAATTAGTGGTTTTAGTACAGATTCTGTACTAAACCACTAATTCTGTTTTGTGATTGGCGCGGTTTAATCAAAGAATCGCCCCGTTGAACCAGAGCCTTCGCGACATTTCAATTTATTATTTACTGTCAAAGGCTCTGGAATCCAAGGCAATCCACACCGGGCAAGCTGAAAAGTTTGCCTGACCACGGTGGGAATCGAACCCGCGACCTTTGGGATACTACTCTTATACCATTATTGGTTATAAATATAGATTTCCCATATGATAAATTAGTAAAAAACCATGTTTAAATGGGAAATCTAAAATAGCCAATAATGGTATGAGTTACATTGATAGTATACATGGTAAATTTTTAAAAACCTTTAATGGAAATTTAAGCAGCCGTCCAATAATTTTTAAGTCAGGAAAATTCTACTCAAAAGTCATCAGTCATGCAATTCTATAAATTGGGCAATGCCACAAACAATTAAAAATTGGGCAATGCTACATAAGAAATCGAAAAATTCTACTAAACAATGGGACAAATGATTAATTAAAAGAATGTGTGAAAATGGTCAAAAATGAAAAACCATCAAAACTGGGCAAATTTTGGTCTGCCCATACTTCGATTACTGCTGTGAAGTATGGGATGTGTTTGGTGAGACACAATCAAAAAGACTCCAAAAACTCCAAAATAGAGCTGCTCGAATCATTATGAATATGAGCAATGACACAGATCATTCTGTTGCTCTGCAAGCATTGGGTTGGAAGACACTTAAAACAGAAAGAAAGAAAGGGAAAGCAAAAATAATGTACAAATTATTAAATAAAATGGGTCCCAAGTCACTCTCTAATCTTTTCACATATAAAGGTGAGAAAACAAAGTATCACCTCCGAGATATTTCAAGTGGTCTTTGTCTACCACAACCGCGTACTAATAATATGAAAAAAAGTTTCATGTATGACGGAGCACACCTATGGAATTCAATTCCAAAAGAAATTAGAGAGAGCAAATCCCTTTCTGCCTTTCGGAAAAAAATCGTTACTCACATTGACTGATTGATTAATGATTTGTAAATATATCTAAATTACTTTAACTTATTTAATACTATATATCTTATATAATTTTGTAAATAGCTTTTTAGTGTATCTGTATAGTTTGCACACGCCCCCCGTGGAAATCAGCTTCGGTTGACGGGGTCAGCGTGTTTAAATAAAGTTTTTCTATCTATCTATCTATCTGCCCTTTTGTTTCTTCCCTATATCTTGTGCATGCATACAGTTGATTCAGGTTGAGCTGGGTCAAAAGTGCAAAGCCTGCCTCCTACCAGAGCTAATTGGCCGAGCTAATCACCAGGCATAGCTATAGGTGTACGGACAGAATAAAATTAGGGGGGGGTTGGAATTTGCCTGACATTGAAGGAAATTGCCCAACATTACACATCTCTTATATACAGAAATGTGGAAATACAAGGTTGGTCTTAAAACTAATTGCTTATTATAAGGAATTTGTAGATGGAAATTCTGAGTGTAATTTTTATACATTTATTAGACATATAACCAGGAGCAGGTACGTACTATATAGGCCCTCTGGCAGGAATCGAACCTGCAGCTCTGCGGTTCCGGGGCAGCGCTCTTAGAGCTACAGAGAACCTTGAAACATACTGTAGTTAATATAGAAGATTCAGAGCACTCTTGCTCAGCTGTGCAACACATATCAATAGACATATGAATGTGTCTAGATAATTTGTTCGTGTTTTTCTGGTAGCCTAAGCACTCCCATGCAACACTGCTGTGTTGCAGGTAAAACACAAGGAATGCGGGAGATTTCTTCAAATTGTCTTCATGTGGGAGGGAAATGATTAATGACTCCAAAATGCTGGAGTCTCCTGCCAAATGCGCGAGACTTTGTATGTCTGAACTCTAACTGCACTTCATTTATAAATACTAAAGGTGATGCCAATTTAAGGCAGCTGTGGCATATCACCGTTATATGTATACATGAACTTGCAGTTAGAGTTCGACAACTAGACTCGATCAATTAGTTAGAGCGTACTGGAGGGTCACAGGTTTCAATTATTCCTGCCAGTGGGCCGAAATAGTCGCATGTGTCAGTGTATGATGATGTATATCATATATATAGTGCACCTGTATGATGATATACATCAGATACAGTCACCACAAAATGAAGAGCATGTACTGTACAGTGAATGCAACTAAAGTCTTGAGCATGTTGACGTGAGTTGGAAAAAGGCAGATTTACACAACTTTTGCCTATAAAACTGTCACATGCAATATGCTTAAGGCGTAAAAAAAATACCTGTGGTTCCGGTTCCCGACCGACCCTATTTTTTTCTGCCGACCCTATTATTTTTTCAACGCGATTGACCGTGCGACCCTGTTCTCTCCAGGTGGTTGCGGGCTGCTCGTACAGCGTGCCAAAATGGCATTCAACTAATTATTTTACCAAATTGCCTAAATTCATCCATAGGAAATATGCATCTCTAGTTAATATTGATGTTGGGACTCTACTGCAAATCGCCCAGTAAAAAACTGCCAAAACCATGAAAAAATTTTTTTTTAAATTTATTTCCGACCTACAGACTCTAATTTTTTCACGATATGAAACGGCCGCAACCACAGGTATTTCTTTTACGCCTAACTCGAGTTGTATATCCACAGTTCCATAGCCAAGGCAGGTATCTCGTGCCAAATCGCCACAAAAACCATTCTCTCAAAAAGTCTAAATCCACAGAGAAATTGGGGGAAGGGGGTGATACATGTTACATGCCTGAAGCTAAAACTGACTAAGTCTTGACCCAAGACAACAACAATTTACTGGAGGAGGACACTAGTTAATGTGTGAAATCTTGTTAAATCATTCGTATATTTGGTCCATGAATATGGATTTAGTTTAGATATTCAACTATTAAATAGTATGCGAGAATGGTGTCTCAGAATTATCTACACTGTAAATGCAAAATTTCCGTTCAAAATTACATTAATTGGGAATTTCCTCCCCCAGCATCATGCACAGAAGAGAAATAGGGTGACACAGACTCGTCCCTCCAATTTTCGAACACAACTTTTCCATGCAATTTATTTAGTTCCGAGGAGAAATATCAGGTAAAAATCATGTCCGATGTATTTTATAATCTTCGGAATTCTGCAAAATTTCACCCCAAAAATGCTTGAAATCGCATTTCAGCAGGGGCTTCGGAGCGGCTTGAAAAGTGGGGGGTGGGGGCACACTTAGCACCCCCGAAGGCGAGTGACAATCTAGAAAGGTTCGGGGCATGTTGCCCCTAGAAAAATTTTAAAACTAGAGTCTCTGAAATACCATTTCCTGCACTTTAGAAGGAGATTTACAGTGCTCTAAAGTTAACAAAATGTCATCAAATATATAAAATTGTTCTGTCCCCACCCATAACCAAAATAATATCAATTAACTTTGTGGTTTATTACGGATTGTTAAAAAGTGGGGGGGGGGGGCAAAGACATTTAGGTCCCCAACTAAAAAAGTGGAGGCCCGGACCCCCCGCTTCCAATGCCCCTGCATTTCAGGAACTCTAGATGTCAAAATTTTTCAAGGGGAGCATGCCCCCGGACCTGGCCACTAGCCACACTCACACCTTCACTTCAACCTCCAAAAGTAAGGCTCTGTTTGCCTACGTTGTCGTAGATGAGTGCTTGATTTACACAATACTACTCAATAAGCTGTTTAGCGGGTTGCATGCAGCAGTTTTAGGCAAACGTTGTGTAGTGTTTTCTCCCGCCACTTTGAGCAGATCAGCGTTGCCATGAGCAACAGTTTAATATACAACTATCATGAACTCTCATATCATTCTCATTTCTCATAAACTCAATCTGATTTCAGCTGTATTGTAATTCGTACCTTGATAGAACAGCGAAGAGGAGCAAGACCATTGCCTTGACCCAAAACAGCATCCAATTTTACACCATCATTCTGAACAACCAACCAACGTCCACGATTGGAGCTATTTTGAATCTGTCTATTTGATTGAGGAATACACTGGCCAAGTAACTCAAGTCCTAACCTCTCGGCCGAGCGATCGCTTTCTTCACAAATATATTGCACTACAGGACAAGACGAGTGGGTCCATAGGCCATAGAGAACCCATTTTTTCTCAGGCTTCCGTTTCATTCTCTGTGCATCGCCATGAAATACGTACACAAGATAACCATACCGTGCTGATTGAGCTCGCATGTTTTAATATCAGCAAACAGCTTTATTTATTGATGCTCGCTTACAAGCTGTGCTCTACAAGCCCACTGGCACTGGTTTGTAGCTTGTACTCTTTACACAAATGTAAAAATCCCACACTATCCGTCTACGGCACGTTTATTGATGCATCGTAGCTTGTAAATATTTTTACTGCAATGCAATTTGAAGCCTGCAGGTTTCATTTTCAATTTGATATCGTCCGCAAATTCCAGGAATCGTTTAACGCGGAATAGACCAGCATTCCTCGCTGGCATCAAGCCTTGTGACGTCATTATGCATAAGGTCTATTACAAATTCTTGGAATTACAAACATTTTTGCTATGAATATATAAATTGAACGGACTATAGTCACCTTTCTGCACTTGTTACATGTAAAATTCCTCATGAAGAGCTTCTTACAAAGCCTATAATGAAGTCAGTATTGTAGAATTGCTTTCTATTTTGTTGGAATACTTGGAATAAAGAATTAGGCAACGTGTTGCCGTGGCAACCGCAGCTGATACGATATCATACCTTTGATATCATACTTTGCTTTTTTGATTTCACATGAGACCGCGCGACTTTTATTGTGAAACATGAAACATGAAACACGCAAATGTAAATATTACCGTATGTATTACACTCCTGATTCCTGTTTTCAACTTGAAAACAAAGAAACCTGTCAAAGAAAATATATACTAAGAAAAAACATACTCCTATTAAGAAATTAAGAATACGGTCATCTTGAAATTCAATATGGCAATTAACCCTTTGTTGCAGGAGTCATTGGGGGAGCTTCTTAATTAAAAACGTGGTGACGGGTGGGGGGAGTACAAACGTACGTTCTGTGTATATACAGGTTTGAAAAAAAATTGTCTCAGAAAAGCATTCTCCGTGCTCGCTCAGAGGAATTTTAAATAAAATTGCTGCTTAAAAAGTTCAGGATTTTGTACGTAAGGCACTTTATACCTTTTTGCAACCTGGTCCCCCAGTTTTGAACGTTCGCTCTGTATACAATTATAAACATGAATGAATACAGTTATCGAGTTCCATTTGCATGTACAGTCTCCAATAGGCGAATTTTTTCGCGCGACGCGAAGCGAAAAACAAATCTTGGCAATGTGATTGGTCAGCGAAAACATTCGCTGCGAAAAAGTTGCAGTTCCTACTTTCTTACTGTTCGCGCGAACAAATTCGCCTAGTACTAGAATAGTAGAGAACGGCATTTATTGTATATGTAGCAACAGTAGCATGTTAGCTGGCATGCAATTTGTACAGAAGTGTTCAGTTTACGGAATTACGGTAAAAGCAAGTTAATAGCTGGCATGCAATTTGTAGCAAGTTAATAGCTGGCATGCAAAATCAGTTTACGGTAAAAATTTTGGTATTTTAACGGTAAAAATTTTGGTATTTTAACGGTAAATCTTTGAATCTGTTGAAAAGTATTCTGAAACGATAAACAGTGTGTTTTTTTTCTCACGCTTCACAATAAAATTTTTAGTGTTTTCATAACTGACGGTAACGGAAATTGGGCAATCACGACTAACGATATACCCCAACAACACCCTCGTATATCTGGAATAAAATTAATTGCCTATTTGATGCAGATCGAAGCATGAGGGTTAAAGCAAGTTGAATTAAACCAAAATGCAACGACGGGTTAAAACAAAACGAGTTTTTAAAACTGTAAATTTTCTACTTTATTACTAAAAGTTTGTCTTGTTTTTAATTTGGCATACACTGAATTTGAAGATGATCGTTTTTAGCCTTAGGAGTCTATTTCAGTATTTCATATATTTCAGTTTTCGCCGCGTGTTTTCTCAGTCAAAGAAAATTTACTTCACAGTTTCATTTGCGAAAGGTCGTAGGGTTCCGAAGCAAATAGTTGACAATTCCATTGTTGTTGAGTAAAGTTTTATTTACATTTGAAAACTGTTCATACCATTAAGTTATACATGGTATAAATAAGTCAGGTTTGTCTGGGTGCCAGACTTTTGTCAGCAGTCACGTCTAACCTAGAAATTACTCTCTATTACCCTAGGAATGTTATGGTCTATCATTTATATAAGTTACGTGGAAATAGCGATACATGATACACTAGTTACAATGTTCTATATTTACTATACTATTATCAATGTGGCAACATTTTAAGTATAATCAGTCTCTATTATGAATTAATAGTAAATATTTCAAAATTAGTTGAATTTATGTATGTCATTGTCGCCTTTGTCGACGTATTCACATTGCCATACCTGGCAATCGTGTTTGAAATGTTGCAACGGAAATTATTACTAATTATTTCGTTATGAATGTGGGAAATATTTGAATGAAGAATAATTTATATAATTGGATGAAAATCCATGATATTTTACCAAAATATATTGAATTCTCAACTCGAGACTCTGGTTATGTAGTATACTCTGGTCAATACCGTGAATACTTTCATGCAAGGCTGTTTTTAGTCTTATCTCGCTAACAAACTTATTTTATAAGTATTGCACAGTTCATTATTATTTGTGTACTGAAACGTTCCGTGTCGTACCAAGAAGAAATACGAGAGGGCTTTGCTCGCAGGGTACTGAAACGTATAGACAGCTTGAAATGGTCATTTGTAGGGCAGGTTTTAAACAATGCACTTTTCATGTGGCAAAACAATTGATCAATTGGTTCGACCTCATGTTTTTACTGCATTTAACATGGCAGTCAAAAATCACCAGTTTCGCCATCTGCACGGCATGTGGAAAGGGAAATTAGTAGTGATAAGGTCGAATAATTTAGTTCTGCACATGAAAACTACGCCGTTTAAACTGGCCTTCAGTATATTATTTAATTTAACTATCAATTCTAAATTATGATTTTATACAAAGATTTCCTTTCGATGATCATAAAGAAAACTGTTCCTTGAAATCGGAACTTGAGATGTTGAAGTGAACGTCGAAGATGAAGGTCTAGGCGTACTGTATCTGAGTCCCTTAAATCTCGAATCCATTCCAAGCGTGGAGGTACTAGCACTTCGTACAAATCTCAACTGTTCTGCTTGGTGTCGTTCTTCAGGGCTTGGAGGGACTGGATTTTCTGTTTTATCCAGCCAAATATTGTTCATTTTCACACCATCTTTGCTATTATTCTTTTCATTTTGTGAACAATTCCTTCGCTTGCGTCGTAAGCACCAAACAGACGAGCTAGCCACAAGTAATAATAACAAACCGGCAGCAACTCCTACAAATAGAGCCAAATTAATCTTCGTTGTGCCTTCGCGCTTTCCTTCCGTTGGTTTACCCGGCGCTGAGGTAACTATTTTAGGACTTGGCTGCGTTGACTTCTCTGTAGTTTCGCTTCCGATGTGTAGAGATGTTGGCAGACTGATATCTCGAGGGGTAGGGGACTTGGTTGGAATGGTGGGATTGGATGTGGTTGGGTTGTTGGTCGTTGGGCTGTTGGTCGTTGGGCTGTTGGTCGTTGCGCTGTTTGTCGTTGGGCTGTTTGTCGTTGTAGCCGGCGTTGTTGAAAGCAAGAAACGGAAATCTTTCAAAAGTATTTTGTCCAATTCCCCCAAAGTCACACTATGTAGTTCACTCGACGTTAAATTCAATGCCTCAGCAAGAGTTTCTACACTTACTCCATAATTTTTTGCCAGGCTATTGGTCTTAGTTACTGTTATATATTTAACGACATTAATCCAGTCCTGTTCAATGGCTTGAAAAGTGCTTGCGTTAGAGGAATGTAGCATTTCAGCTTGATTTTCAAGAGATATATTGTATTTGTGTTGTAAAACACGAAACCCTAATTCCTGTAGTTTTCTTACAGTGACATTGTCAGACAATGGGTACAGATGTTGTTCATCTGTTTTTAAAACTGCCCGAATTTCGGTGATAGAGACATTGACCGTCCATTTATTGTGGGGATTGTAAAGTAATTGCTCTGTCGTAAGTCCGTCTGATCTTGCGGCAACCCCTAGCACAACCGCACCGCTCACAGTGTTTCGCATAACGTGAGACAAACTCCGTTCTAAGCTAGTAACCATATCAACAGGACTTAGCCTGGAAAAGAACTCCGGGTGGAGGCCGGAGAAAAGTTTTACAATAGTTCCACGTTTCGTTATGACTTCTTGAATCACAGGATTGATAGTCAATGGCATTTGAAGCAAAAGTTCCCCGCCAGCAAAATTTGTTATTGTTGTTGTTATTGTGATTAGGAGAAGATAGAGCAGCTGAACTTCCATTATTATTTTAATAAGATCTCCAACAAGGACACGATCAGTTCGATCTCTGTCGTAATATTTCGATGTATTTCCCAAATCTCCCTGTTTGTGACAATTCAATAATATTTCATGTAATTATAAATCTTTCTCATGACATTAACGCCTCCATAGCTGTTACCAATCAAGAAAATGTTGTTTAAACCTAGCTCGCTTTTCCAATACAAGAACTCCTCGACACTGCAAACTTCCGACAAATTTGTTTAGACGTAAACCTTTCGAGGGTACTCAAAGTTCTGATCAATATACACACTCACAGACACTACATTTCACATCACTTCAAATATTACTAAAACAAAGCTTTATTCAAATGACTTCCCCAGTTCCACATCATCAAGTGAAAATAGCCTCTTGAAACACCAAAAAATGAGCATGAACAAGAATACATATAAAATATAACCAAATTCTTATCTCTGATGGTTGGTTCTATCCAATATTCCGCTGCTTTTCACACTGCACCCTGTCTTGAGCTCCTTGTACGTAGTTTACAAACAGAAAATTAACGAAGCACGACCAGTAATTCAAGTTCCCACCGTTCGACCTGACGTGCATAACAAATGCTCCATTTAAGAGCAGAAGGGGGCGGGGAGGCCAAGTGTGGAGTATTGTCTTAGCCAAGTGAAGTAGAAAATTTCATTTCGCTTCATCAAAAATATTTCAACATTGAAATGTATCAATTCTTGACACTGAAACAAATATCTTTGTTTTTACAGGAGCTGGACACACACATCATTGTATTTTAGATAGACTTAGCTTGGAATAAACCGAAGATATTTAATCTGACAAGCGAGAATCCAATTGTACTGAGACAGGTATACAGTTGTAATTTTATAACATATTCTAAAGATAGCTACGATTACTATAAATAATCTCAGATATTAAATGGTTATTGGGGTCAATGATATTTTGCGTTCAAAATTGCAGCCACGCTTACGTTTTGGTAATTATATATTTCAGTTATAATTCATGTGCTTCAGAAGCGGAAACTTCGTTATACTGGTAGGCAAAGCGTATTTGGTACACAAAAATGGTGAAATTCTACAATAATTAGTATTCTTACACTAATATATATATATAAGAGAAAGCCATTTTATATTTTTGCAATAATACGACTGCAATTCCTTATACGTATAGTTCAGGTATGCATGGTTAAACATTATAATTGTACTGCTATTTAGCATTTCTTATCACCAAAATCAAAACTTGTCTGTTATATTAAGACCTATTGTATTTTCTATTTTCTACTCTTGATAGGTTGAGTTCCCCATTTTTCTGTAGGCGAGGTGCCAAGGTACAACGAATATTAATCTCTATATACTGTAACCTAACAATGTTTAGAAAACCAAAAAAATGGTACATTTATATACAAAACTTGCCACATTATTGTGAACTCGGATGCAATTATGTAAAAGTTTGAAGTATCACACTTAAAAAGTTTATGTATTCAGAAGTTTCAGCTTGCTTTAATTGTTATTCGTATACTAGACATATAGGCATAGCAACAAATTAATTATTAATAATGTGAGTCAAAGTAAATTTAAGAAAATTGAATAAAATTCTTTATCACTATCATTAGCTGTCATAGTTGGTGCACAAATATCTGCTCTAATATGAAGTATATAAATTTCGGCACGATTTTTTTCCGTGTTTGGATTTTCAATTTAAATTGTTTTTTGTCACTGAAATTAAGTTGTCCAAATCATAATTAATAATTCACGAAAAATATCTTGCTGCGATTATTTTCAGCAAGTAAATTTGCAGTATTCTTCTAACATGCTGAGCGCCGTAAACTATGCCGTGTAAACTATGTATTATTAATAAAAATATTTGAGTTTTTAGACTTTTAGTATATGTTGTATACAGCTAATTCAAAAAACGTTGTCGTTCGAAAATCTCAAACCTTAAACTCTGAGTGCGCAAAGAGTGATGGGTAACTTCTTTTCAGGGCTTCTGATTCGGCAACTAATCATAGTACACTGGTAGTTGTACATCTTATTAATTAAAGTGCTTATCTGTCTTGCCATAGTTACAATGCGAAATTGTTTTAGGCCTTAAGTAAGGAGTTACCCATCACACCTTGCGCGCTTTACTTAGAGTAAGGTTTGAGATTTTTGAATGACAACCTTTTTGAAACAGCTGTAAATAGGGGAGTGGGATTCATTCATCAGCAGAGATATAAACTTATATTAAAGATGAAAATACTATATTCTAAAATGTTTTTTTAAAACCTTCAAATTTAGCATAGCAAATTGAGGATGCCTTAGCCTCGATGAATTATTTTAATACTTCCGAATTATGAAATACGAAACATTGCTGCCCGCGTTCGTAAAATTACTTGTGGATGGTGAATTATGAAATGGATCGAACTCGCGCTTTATTGCGGTGTCTGTCAGTCCTACTGTTTTTGTCGAAACACAAGAACCAAAAATACGACGGATCCCAGCATGAATACTTAGACAAAATGTGAAATTTCGCTGGCTAATTAAAACAACCCAATATAGGTTTGTTACGGAAACCTGGCTGGAGTTGTTTGAAGTAGGCGAAATAGCGAGACTCATTAAAATCGGAAATAAGATGACAGGGGACGGAAACATGACTGTGTAAGTTTGCTTGCTGTTTTTTTTAAAGACTTCTAAAGATTGTCTGTTTCGAAAGTCATACAACATTAACTGCAACTTTGTAGAGAATTAAAATTGAAGAGCAAATCTTTCTTTAAAGGATCTTAATATTTCCTTGTACTGAAGAGAGTGTTTTAAATAGTGTGATACAATGTGAATGTCAATGCTTCGTCCGACCAGAATTCACTAAAGATTGCTGTTCTCAGACTCAGTGATACTAATTGATGGATTTACGATTAAACTTCATCAAATTAAGCCGGCCAGAGCCTTTTTTAACTACATAACTGGGGCAATTGCCCTTCCAGAAATCAGTTGTGCCCCCCCCACACTGCCCCAGTCACATTGATTCTACCCCCAGAAAATTTAATATGTGCCAAACTTGTAGAAACTGAATGTATTAAATGGCTCACAGAACATTACGTAACTCATAGGCTACTCTACCAGTGTTCTGTACTTACTACACTCGACATGATCTTTTTGACGATGGTTTCAATTATTTTCTTCGGCGGTTTCACGAATGATGGCAATTTCCGGCAAAATCAGGACTCTCGCTTTTAAGGATTTTCATTTATAACAGAAATTTTGCATAGTTTTAGCGCTTTTCAGGAAATTGCAAATTTTTAGGAATTCTCTAAATAATTTAGACAATTGAAAAGACTCCGAGATTTACTGATCATTTAGACTGTATGATTTATGTATTTGTTATATAGCCTCAACCAAAGGTCTAAGCAGCCCGGAAAATGGCGCTTTTGGGACCCCCAAATTTAAATTTTTTTCTGAGTTAACATCCGGACTACCCGACCAAAATATATAGTCATGCACATTTGCCTGATTTTTTTATGGTTCAAGTTACGGTAAATTAAAAAGTTAATTAGTTAATATTATAAAACAATCTCATTTCATTCAAACCATTTTTGACGGCCCGCATTTTACCCATTTGAAAGAATTCTTTTTTTGCCTCCCCTTGTGCTGGACAATGTTGGAAGAGTTTGTTCAATGAACATGCACGTGTATAATCGCCAAATGTGCCATTGATCACCTGGATAATCATTAGATGTTGGGCAATGTTGGATAAAAATTTCAAACAAATTCAAACTTGATCCAACATACCCAACATACACTAGAAAACAATTTAAATTTCCATTAATGGGTTTTCATGAATGGTTCTTAGAAATTTACCATGTATATTATCAATGTGAAAACTCAACTCTTATACCATTCTTGATTTGACAGTATATAGTCCCATATGGTAAATTGGTAAAAACTATGAAGTTTAATATTTACTATTAATTGTATCTTCCTATGTACTGGAAAAAATAAAGTACCATCAGTGGTAAATATTAAACCTAATGAGCTAATTTACCATATGGGAAACTATAATAACCAATAATGGTACGAGTTCAGTTTCTACATTCAAAAACTTCAATGGTTCAATTTTTCCCTGTGATAATATCCAAACGAGGCTAACATGTTGCATCCGATAATGTTGGATGATTTTTGACCAACGTGTTGGCCACGTGTGAACGCAGAGCCTTTAAAAGAAACTGAGCCCGGATCAAACAAGCATTAGAGGTGCATGCACGAGAGTTGGTCGCGCGACCTTTGTTAGCTGTTCCTAATGCACTCCCAAAAGTACCATATGTAATTTAGCCTACTAGTTTAAGTTAAAACCATTGGTTAAAACATAGTTGAAACACAACAATCAAACCTGTATTGTTTTAATACAGAAATCTCGAACAGGGACGTCGCGAAGTCATCGACAACTTTTTGACCAACTTTTGCTATATCTTTTTGACGAACTCCTAAAAATATTTTCCCAATCTTTTCCATTGGGGGGGGGGGGGAGGCATACAAAATTTTCCGGACCAACATTAGCAAAGTTTAACAAAATACTTGAATTATTGGGGGGTGTTACACCCCCACGCCCCCCGGTAGCGACGTCCCTGATCTCGAAATGTCCTCCGCAACAATGCGCGACTGCAAACTCTAATATCAACTCTCATCCTTGTTTGATCACGGGACTTAACTTCACTGCAGTCGTTAAGTTTCAAAATCGGTAGAGACTTAATATCATGTCCACCATTGTCTAACTGAAAAATTCATTACATTGACTGCATATACACACTACCCATCCATCTATTTCTATCTATATTTAGTTCTACATGCAATTATGTAGCATCAATCAATGCAACAATTTACACTTCGAACACTGACAAAGAAAAAATCAAATATTAGCACTTAAGTGCAAGCCAGCAATTGTATTCTAAAACAACAGAAAGTTATCTTAACTATGAAGTAAAGTTTTTATGTATTGAAATGACATATTTTGATAAATGAACAAAACTGTTGTTAAGCGACAGATGTTTGCCGCGGAATTCCAAACATCATAGGACAAGCTGCGTGCGGTCGCTAGGGACATTGCTATCAATCCGATACTTTATGACCGAACTTTGGTACATAGTGTACAATATTACTTACAACATTTGACTGCTGTTTTAAGACTTTACTTTGTGTAAATTTGATAACAGTATGACTTTCTTAAGCCTTAAGGGGGAATAGCGAAATGTAATATATAATTTCTCCAACTGGGAACGCTGTGTGTTGAATATTAAAGCCAAACA